ACCATAGTTTGGCGATTGGGCGATGGTGTTTCTCTTGGAGTATCCTTATTATCTTTCAAAGAGTTAAAGAGATTCGGTTTCCGAGTACACACAATTTTGGTGTGCTGTCCTTTGCAGTGTGCCTGTGTGTTGCGAACCGCTGATCCAGCAGTGCTGAGTCGGCTCCGCCTCCGATTTGCAGTATGAACTTAAGACTCTGCCAGTGCTGCCAGTGCTGCAAGTGCTACCAGTTATGAGAGAGAGAGAGAGAGAACTGACAGTGCTGCCAGTCTGAAGACTCTGACGTTCTGAATTGAACTGCAAAGTTTGAACTTTTAAGTTATGTATGAAGTTATGAACTTAAGACTCTAATGTTTTGAATTGAACTGCAAAGTTCAAACTTTTAAGTTATATATGAACTTAAGTTACTAAATCCAAAGTTCAAAGTCCAAAGTTCATAGTGCAAAGTTAATCATGTTTTTTTCAGAAAAAGATTCTCTGTTTCTTTAGTATTGTGCCTGCTTTGCACTGTTTGCAACTCTGCATGTCTGCTAGTTAAATGTGGTGGTTCATTTGCTGCAAGACATGTGCTCTTCTATGTGAAGTTGATTTGCTGCAAGACATGTGCTCTGTTGTGTGAAGTACAGAGTGCAAAGCAGGTAAGTGCCTGCCAACACCTCCAGCCAACCCCTCCCTCATCCCCGGTGGGTTTTTTTTTTTTTTTTCCTGACATTGTTTGCACCCCGGGGACCGGTCCAGACTCTCCGGTGTCCGGTGATGTCCGGTGTCTGGTGATGTCCGGATGACCGGACAGTCCGTACCGGTCCAGACACTGGTCCGGAACACAGTCTGGAAGTGTCCGGTGTCCGGGTCCGCGGCTACCATGATATATCTATTTGACGATATATATTCAAAGTTGTCAGGCCGAACGTACGGAGGCCCCTAAGCTGACCCCCGAACGTTCGGGTGTTCGGGTCCCCGTACGGGGCCCGAACTCGAAGGGGTTCGGACCCCGCAAAAAATTAGTTTGGTACCTAAAAAATATTTTTTTTTTTGTTTTTTTTTTTTGTGAGTTCTCTGTTATGTAAGCTACCTGTCTCTGAATTTTGAAGTTATTCTGTAGAGCCAAACAATAATGAACAATCGGCAAAGATGGTGGTGTCAAAACTTGCTTTCCCACTTACTAATTTGTTTGTTTTCTCTTTTCACTTTTTGTTTTCCCTTTATTTCGGGGCCTGAAAAAAAATATTATTTTTCAGACTTTATTTGTAGGTTCTCTATTATGTACGATACATATGTATAAAATTTCATGGCATTTGACAAAGCCAAAAAAAAATGAAAAATCGCCAAAGATGGCGGTGTCAAAAACTTGCTGGCCCATGCAATAATTTCGTTCTCGTTTTATTTTTTCTTATTTTCATTAATATTATTTATTTTTCGTATTTGATTTTGTTTCAAATTTGGTAAGGAATTTGGGTGTAATTTTGAGGCAAATGTTGTTTTGTTTATTCTTCTGCATGACATATGTTTTTTTCAGAATGTTTGGACACCTTGTTTTTTTTTTTTTTTTTTTTTTTTTTTTTTTTTTTTTTTTTTTTTTTTTTTTTTTTTTTTT